GTTGATGGGCACCGGCAGCTGCTGCTGCCTTTCACACACCTGTATGCAGCAAACTGGTCAAACTGCTGCTTTCATAGAGCTGCTTTATCTGATAAACTGCGAAAGTATTTTCTCTAAACACAACGTACCAGTGAACAACACTCCAAGATAAAAACTGGTTCACCCTATAGGCAGAATGCCCAAACCAAAGCTGAGGGGTTATTTATAGAGGTCAACTAGTTTAAAAGAAGGTTAAAGGAAGCCATCTTTGTTAAAAGAGAACAGCCATCACTGAACAGAGGGGATAGATTCCAAGCATTAACAACTCTGTCTTGAAACTCATTCCAAAGAAAGTACACAAGCAGTCTCACCATTATACAAATGGCCAAACACAAAACTGATGCAAAACAACAGATTCCAACAACCCTGGAGAACGATGGCACCGTCACAGATTTGCATTTTACTTGGTATGTGCTCAGAAGGAGGGACCTGCAGGTGCTCAAATATCAGCACTCCAATTACAGGTTGCTCTGTAGAATGGAAAAAGATTGGTTAATAGGCTGACAAAGAAAGTGAGCAAAAAATCAGGCTGCTTTCTATTTAAAACCGTTTTTATTCTGAGCTTTAGGCTGTTTATGTGAATCTTAGGCAGCAGGGCTTAGCTGTGACTGTAGCTCCGCCCATTACGATGGCATCGCTCTGTGACCTCTGTCATCTGTGTGAAAGAAGGGTGCACTCTTCTGATTTGTTGCTTTTATGTCTCCACCAAACATTACATCTGAGTGAAAGAATGTGATTTGACGGGCTGTAGAAGGATTAGCTGATAAACTCAGCTCTGGTTATGAAGCCTTGAAAAATGGAGTCTGACAGTGAAAATATCTCAATGTTTTTCTTTTATTCTTTAACCAATAGAAATAAAATGAGAATTGGTTAAAAAAAAAGAATTAAAAAAATAAAGGAAAAATTCCAGAATCGTGTCTTCTTCTTCTTCTACACTGAATTCAGTAGGAAGACGCCTGCAGCAGAAATCAGAACTATGTCTTGGAGTGAATGACCACTTGGGGGTGGGGGTTCAAGGGGCCAAGCAGAAATAAAAAAAAGAAACCCAGAAGCACTGATTAAGCAGTACTCTATGTGCCACAGAAAGGTCAAAGGTCAGTATCAGTAGTATTAAGGAGAAAAACACAGCTAAACAGATAATGGATTTATGACCTCAAAAGCTAATATTTCTCCTGTATTAGAATCTCCTTGTCTTCATCTTTTATTCCTTCCATGAATCTCTCACATTTTTTCTATTATTTTCCAACTCCCTTTTTAAGAAAGCTGACAAAACTTGTGAAAACTGTCTTTGCTAAAAAAACACTTGAATATTAGTTTCAGGTTAAGTTGGTTTATTCTTAAAAGTTTATGAGTTTAAGAAAATAAAAACGTGCCCTGGAAAGCCAAAAAAAAAAAATCCTTGAAAGCACTTGAATTGTTAAATTTTGTTTGCGATGGATGGGTTATGGTTTTCCTGTTTCCTGTATAGTTGAATCTACCCACAATGCCATGGCCTGAAAGCCATCCTCCCGGAAATTTGTATTTTCCCAAAAAACAAACAATCTGGTTTGTGTTAGAGGTTGGTGACTTTTGGCTTTTGATTTCTTTTTTTTTTCTGTGGATTGCGACTTGTGTACATCCTAACATTGGAGGTCAACAAGCTGAATGCTGGTGAAGAGTCTCAGTCATCCAGGTCATAGTCATTTGAAAAAAGTAAAAACAAATCCACTGGACTTTGAAGACGTTTCAATAACTAAATGACGGCCTACTCCCAAGGGCCGGACCCATTATTCCAGTTCAATTTACATGTTTTCTAAGCCAAAACAAGACTTTGTTTTGGTCTACTCTATTAAGCCTCGAACTCAACCCTAATTCTGATATTTTGAATTGAAAAAGCTTCCTGGATGGGAAGCGCAACGTCTTCAGATTTGGAAACAAAGTCCAATGGATAATTTTTTAACTTTTTTGGAATTAACAAGCTGAGGTTTATGGCTATCAATAGGCTAACAATATTACAGATATCAACATTGCTAATTCACCATTTTTCATTCAATTCGGATCCAGGTGCTTCTATGCCATCCATTTTTTTAAATAAAATTTGCACTGTATCAAATTTATTTATTGCTAAATGATAAGCTGCTGCATTTGATCTTTGAATTTGAAGACATTTGTCTTGGAAAACCCTTGACAGCTCCCTAAATTTGAAGCTTAATGAAGTATGACAACCCTACAAAGGGGACTCCAGCTTAAGCCTCCCTCCAGGATGGAGTCGCATCAAAACAGAACAAGGCCTGATGGAGCTAGTATGAAGAGAGAAAAACAAAGAGAACATAAAGTTAAAGTAACAATGACTGAAATATTCAAATATAAGTAGAAGGAGAATGGGTGAGGGAAAATAGTCTTTGTGTCTTCCGACAGCCTAAGCCTATAGCAGCATAACTCAGGAAAAGCTGAGTCACTCCTGCTGCATCAAAAAAGAGTTTTATGGTTTGTTCAGACTGAATCAACATATGAACTACACGTGTTTGATTACAAGGTAGAGACCTGCCAGGAAAAAATATATTTCACTTACTTGCAGTTTCAACCTTAAAAAACTTTATTTTCACTTCAAGTTGTAATGAACTGTAACGGGCCAGCTTCAGAGAGCTTCCCCAGCGGTTGAGAATCCCAGAGCTGCCTCCCGCCAGTATGCTGGAGGTCTGCCGCTCTGAATAAGGAAACAATATTTTTCTATGATCATAATCTTTAAGAACTGACTGCAAAGATTATGTTTTGAGGTGGAATTTCGAACTTAAAAAGGTCAAATTAGACATAAGATCTGCCTCCCATCTAGTTGTAGGATCATCGGTAAACATGCTGGGAGTAAAGTGCTCTATTATAAACTTACGGATCAATCAGATGTCAAATGATTAGGGCTTTATGTGATAGCCACATCGAAATATACTAGTAACTCAGTTGTAAAAGTTATTTTGGTAGAGATTCATCTCGGATTCTGGATCATTGATCAGGCTGCAGCATTAAATAACCTTTATTGCTTTAGGCAGACTATATTCTCTCAGCTGTGACTTTTTATTCAGAAATAACCTGCATAAAACCATAAGCTGCAGCTTTAATAGATTCTACTAAATCTGACTGAAAAAGCCCCAAATGACACTAAGCTCAATAATATTTAAATGGCATGAAACGTTTATTTGAAATCTGTCAGCATCTGCAGGTTGTGGGAGATAGATTCCCCTTTATGCCCCACATCTCTAAAGAAAAAATTCCCAGCTCAATTAAATGCTTAATATTTCCCTAATATGATTATAATTTGAGAAAGCCATCTTTATAAAAAAAAAAAAAAAAAAAAATCTAATTTCCTGAGAGCCACAACAATCTTGCACTCTAACATCTTTTAATATACCTGCTGTTCGTCTCGAGAGCAATATAGTCTGATCTCACCAGGAAGAACTTTCCCTGTTAATGTGTGAACTCGCCCACGTCCAATTTATTTTTACACACATTTAAAAATGTACATGTTTGCCTAACGTTCTGTACAAAGGTTAGAAAAAATTATAGCTGCAAACTGAGATAAACACTGTTAAAGTAGAGCAGAGACATTAAAAAGAGCTGAAACTTGGCTTAAAACCAGTAGAATTACTTTAAGAGACGTAAAAGGCAGCAATACCACAGATTTAACAAAAGATTACAAAATATGAAGATCTTTAAGCTCTCATTTTGAATATTTTTATTCATCTTTTTGATTTTTCAAAAGTTAATGCCAAAAAATTCTGTGTGTAGATAGATAATTAAATTGATTGAAATACTCTTCAAATGGTATTGGAGCTTTTCTATCTGCACTACTCTGCTTTAAAATGTAATTGAACAAAACCTGAGGTACTCTACCATCATGGAGAAAGGACTGCAGGTGAGGACACTCTCCGCTCCAGCACTGGAGAAAACTTACATCACTGGTAAATAGTGATTGATCTGATGATCGAGCTGATCTGATGGGAATCTGTGATGTACACTAACAGTTTAAATCTACCTCCCTGACATTTCCTCTTCAGCATGAAAACGAAGCACAGCACAAAAAGCTTGTCCTTGTGTCATATAACGATGGATCTGTAGCTAAATTTTTATTTAGATAAATTATTGAAACTGGCAAAACCTGTATTGCTTAAAAATATGTGAATCCTTAGTTAAAAGTACATCTAATGACATGGAGAGTAATGAGTATTTGCTATCCATCATCTACAGCCTCCTCTAGTAAAGGACACCATTTCTGACCCTTTCACCATGTCAGGGTAATTTAAAGACATTCTGCCGCCCACTAGTTGGTTCACAGACTAACTTTTAGTGATAACTTGACTCAGGAAAACCTTTATCTGGCTTTCTGAAACCAAACTCCAGACTGTGCATCTGAATCACATGCTGTTTATGTGGTACACCTATGTTCTTTTAGTTTATCTGTGGTGCTCAGATGTCCTGAAGTATCACCATCCAAATGTTTCCAATTTCACTTCTGTGTCCATCATATGTTGTTTGAAGGATAATTTTGGTATATTTGCTTAAAGGTATAGTGGAGGATTTTCTATTTTTATTTAAAAGACCCGCCCTCTCCACTTAAAAAAATGCACATGCACAACCCTGAGTTTGCCCCCCGAGAGAGAACATTTACTAAACACGTGCGAGAGCGTGCAGGAGCCTGTTTCTCCTCATGCACGCTCCGTTTAAAAGTTGCTGTTTGCATCGCAAATACAAGAATACTTTCTAAGAAGATTTGCAATTTTCCCAGTATATCAGACTCACTACTGGTAAGTGAAAATGGGTGTGAGGACGGACTTAGGTAAACATATCACCAGATTGACTGACAATTAGGTGATCCACTTATTTTTATGGTCCACCCGCAAAAAGAACATCCTCCATTATACCTTTAATTAATTGGTAGTTTTATTTTTGAAACATGACTCATTCTGTCCCCCTTCACCTTTCCCCCACAGATCTTCTAGGAGTCTATCCTGCATCTCCTCTCCCTGAGGAAGCCATGTCTGCAGCTCAGACCCAGAAGGAGAGCAGCGAGGCCGGCTGGGGATGCCTGGAGTCTCTGGGTCTCAGTCAGAGGGAGCTGGTTCTGGCTGAGGCCCTGCAGATGGAGTACGATGCTCTCTCTAGACACAAGCAGGACAAGAGTGGGACCGGAACCAGCCACACAGACCCTGGAGCTCCCAGCCAGACCAGCTCAAAGACTCCATATCCGTCTGTTGATCAAACCCGACCCATACCCGCCCAGAACCTCCCTGACCCCTCAGAAGGGAACCTGCTGCTGGATCTCTCCGGATCAGATTCCTCACTGAACCAGCAGGGAGGGTCCCAGTTTCCACTGCCCCTCCCACCCAGGCCCCTTCCTTCTCAAGGGGTGTTCATAAAAGAATCCCCCTACATCCTGGACCGTCCTGAAGTCAGTAAGTTCCGGGACTTATCTGGTTCCAACCCGGGGGACTCTTTTGGACCCGGCTTAGGGTTTCTCTCTAAAGGCTCTATGCTCCCTGACGACGTCCCCCCCGCCATCCCACCCAGACACCCCCTGCCTCCTCCGTCAGGGTCAGAGATCCCCCTCTTGCCCCCCAGACCATCCACAACCCCTCGAGATGTGAACCTGTTCCAGCCAGATGTGGACCAGTTAAAAATGACCCCCGCAGAGCTAAACTATGACATCATCAACGACTCACTATCCAGACTCAATGAGGGCAGACCAGCACCTCCGGCTCGGCGTCCCAACGGGGACCAAGCGGGGAAGCCTGTGGCCCGCAGTAAGACCCTCCCCCCACAGGTGCCTCCTAGAACCTACATACCTGCACCTAAGAGCTGCAAGAACCATCGGAGGGTTTCAGCAGACCCGGTAAGACCCCGACAGCCACTCAGCCTGCGCCCAGTCCAGTTTTTAAAATGGTTCTCCTTGTTTAAAGCTGCAGAAGCAGAAGCTGTTCTGCCTGCAGCTGATCTGAAGGTAATGATTACCAAATAATGGAATAAACTCTACTTTCTGTTTATATGGACTAAAAAGGGAAAACAAAATCTGGGTTAATTCTTCCTTTGATCTCTGGTTTAAGGCTGCAGCTGCTTCTTGTATTAACTGGACTCAGGTTTGTTCTTGTTCCTTTGTATTTCTGAGAAAACCTGCTGTTTTCTGCCAGGTCGTTGTTGGAGACTTCCACCTTCAGTTAAAGACCAGTTGTACCAGTTTATCCAGCAGAATCACAGCAGCGTCCTTGCAGAACGAATTTTCATTAAACTTTCATCTGAGGTTTGTGTTCTGTTAAAGCCCTGAACACATAGATTTTCTATCAGTCGTACGATATTGTGGTGTTTAGCACTCATTGAGAGTCGCTAAAACTCAAAATGAGTAGGGGCATACAGAGCAGGTAAGGGGAGTGCATCACTCTTCTGTCTTAATGGAAAAAGGAAAACAAAAACTTCAATAAACTTCCCAGATCTCTCTGAGAATTACTTTTTACTGCCTCAGTCAGCATATAAACCATCACTCAGTGTTTATTGCTGTGTTTTCTTTTCTTTAGACGTAGATGTCGTGTTTTTAATTTGAACA